GTCCACACGTCATAAGGATTTGCTTACTTTATTTTTCCTCACTTTCTTGTGATGAAATTTAACATGGTGATTCTCCCCTCTTTCTCTTCTTTTTTTGGGGGTTATGTTTCTTGAAGTTTAGTTTACAAAAGTAAAAATTCACCTTTTTAATTGTACAGTTTGTTGAGTTTTATAGGTGCATTGAATCCTGAACCACTGCCACAATCAAAATACAGAACATCCTTCATCCCAGAAAGTTCCCCTGTGGCCTTTGGCCATTCATCTCATCTCCTTATTCCCAGTTCCGTAACCATTGATGTGATTTCTGTCTCTGTAGTTTTGTCTTTTCTAAAATGTCAGCTATCTGAAGTCCTGAAGCATGTAGCGTTTTATGTTTGGCTCCTTTAACTTAGTAAATGCTTTTGAGGCTCGTCCGTGTAGGTTGTTCTTCTTTATTACTGAGTAGTTTTCCATTTATCTGTACCATCATTTGTTTATCCATTTATCAATCAGTGGACAGTTAGGTTACTTCCACTTTTGCATCATCACAAGCAAAGCTGCTAAAATATTTACATTTTGTGTATGGATATTCCAGTTTCGTAGACATATGTTTTTATTTCTCTTGGGTAAAGATTTAGGACTCAGATAATTGGGTTACATGAAATGTTATGGAAAACAGATTGGCAGTTTCTTAAAAAATGTATATGCCATTTGTGCATTCTTACCAACGATATATGGGATTTCAAGTTTTTCTCCATCCTCAGTAGTGCTTGGTATTGTCAGGCTGCTTTGATTCTTGGCTGTTCTGGTCAGTGTTTAGTAGTATCTCATTATAGTTTTAATTTGCATTTTCCTAATGACTAATGATATCTTTATAGCTTCTTTGAGGAAGCGTCTGTTTGGATCTTTTCCCCATGTCTTTTTATAGTTTGTACTTTTTGTATACTGTGAAGTCTTTGCCTAACCAACGTCACAAACATTTTTCTAGAGGTATTGCTTTTTTCGTTCTTAGATTTAGTTATGCAAATTATTTTGTTAATTTGTGTATATGACGCAAGGTGAGGTTAGAGATTCATTTTCCTCATATAGATACCCAGTTGTTCCAACATTTGCTGAAAAGACTACCTTTTTTGCCATTTAATTACCTTAAAAATCATTTGACCATAGATGTAGAATCTTATTTCTGGACTCTGTGATTTTCCATTGACCTATATGTCTATTCTTAGGGCAGTGCAGCAGTCTTGATTACTACAGCTTGATAGTAAGTCTTGAAGTCAGGTAGATTCTTCCAACTTTGTTTCTCAGAATTGTTTTGACTAAATCAACAATTCTAAGTCAGATATATAAAAAGATGATACAGTATGTCAACTATACTTCAGTTAAAATAAGAGATAATCAATAGCAACCAAATAGAGTTTATTCCAGGAATATTAGGTTCATACAATATGACTGAAAATCAATCAGTATAATTCACCTCAGCAAACTAAAAAAAAAAAAAAAAAGAAAGAAAGAAAGAAAGAAAAATCATATGATCATCTCAACATCTTAATAGGTGTGGAAGACACATCTGGTTAAACTTCAGTATCCATTGTGATAAAACTCTTAGCAAAGTAGAAGAGAAGGGAACTGTTTCAGCCTTGCCCTTGAGATCTTTTTTATATATATGTATATATTTTTAAAAGATTTTATTTACTTATTTGAGAGAGAGATCACAAGTAGGCAGAGAGACAGGCAGAGAGAGAGGGGGAAGCAGGCTCTCTGCTGAGCAGAGAGCCCAGGGCTAGATCCCAGGACCCTGAGACCATGACCTGAGCCACCCAGGCCTCCCTGCCCTTGGGATCTTAGCCAGCAAAATAAGGCAGGGGAAAAAAAGCATACAGATTAGAAACGCATAAATAATTACTGTCTTTATTCAAAGATGATTTCATTGTCTATGTAGAAAAAACATGAAGAATCTATTAAAAAGCTACTAGATGGGGCGCCTGGGTGGCTCAGTGGGTTAAGCCTCTGCCTTCGGCTCAGGTCATGATCTCAGGGTCCTGGGATCGAGCCCCACATCGGGCTCTCTGCTCAGCGGAGAGCCTGCTTCTCCCTCTCTCTCTGCCTGCCTCTCTGCCTGCTTGTGATCTCTCTCTCCGTCAAATAAATAAATAAAATCTTTAGGAAAAAAAAAACAAAACAAAACTGCTAGAGTGCAGATACCTGGTGGCTCAGTTAGGCATCTGCCTTTGGCTCAGGCTGTGATCCTAGAGTTCTGGGATTAAGTCTCCCATTAGGCTCCTGGCTCAGCAGGAGTCTGCTTCTCCCTCTGCCTACTGCTCTCCTTGCTTGTGCTCTCTCTCTCTCTCTCTCTCTATAGCTGACAAATAAATAAAATCTTTTTAAAAAAAAAAAAGGCGACTAGAGCTAATACATGAATTTAGCAAGTTGCAGAATACACAGTTAATTTATAAATATCAATTGTATTTCTGTTAGCACCGAACAACTAGAAAGTGAAATTCAAAAAACAAAGAATTTACTGTAACATCCAGAAATATGGAAGACTTAGGGATATGTCCCACAAAACCTGTGCAATATGTATATAATGAGAACTTCAAAACAATGCTAAGAGGAATTACAATAAAGCTTGAATAATAATGGGGAGATATATCTTGTTAATAGAGCAGAACACTTAGTATTGTAAGTGTTCTGGAGAGATGTCATTTCTCTCCAAATTGACCTATAGATTAAATTCAATCCAATCAAGATCCTAGTAGGATCTTTAAAAGTATCTTTACATGAAAGGATTGACTAAGATTGAGCCTATAATGGCAAAAGGAAAAGACAAAGCTTTTTTTTTTTAATGGAAAGTGGCAAGATTCTAAAATAATTTGTGAAAATTTTGCCATCTCTGAGAGGAAATGAATGTACAAATCATTTTAAGTAGCAGTAGCTAATATTTATTGAATATAATATTGGGTTATTTTAAAGCATTTTATATGTATAATCCTTAGAACATTGCTATCAGGTACTGTTACTCCTGTGACTTGGCTAACATCTGGATTCTAAGTTAGGCTGATTCTAAATCCTGTTGCCTCTTCTGTTTCAATTTCTCTGGGAAGTACTAACCACTGAACTTCGTTTTGCAAAGCATTGATACTATGGTCTGTGGTGTTCCTTCATTTAGATGGAAGTTTATCTAGATGAAATTTGGACTGTTCCCATTGCTGTGTATAGGGTGATGAAGGCATGCAGATGTTTAGTAATCACATTACAGTTCTGTTTAAATGTTTATATTGTATAGCGATTATTTGTTACCTTTAAAAGATACTGTTTGTTAAATGTATCTTTATAAGAAAGGATTGACTAAGATTGGGTCTGTAATGACACAGGTGTACTTTCTATAATTTACATATGATATTGTATAGCATAAGGGATGTGGTAACTATATTTTCCAAACTTAAACTCAGGGGTTTTATGCCTTTTCAGCTGCGAGAGGCAGCCTGTGAGTTCTAGAGATTTCAAATATTTGGAATCTCTGGGCCAAATGAAAATTACTTTTTACGCTGGCATCAGAGTCACTTCTGGAGCTTTTAAAAAACAACCCATTGGTGTTCCTTTTCCCTACTGCAGTTCAGTGGGCAATATAAGTTAGAAGACAGTAGGTAGTTCTGGTGTGTATCATGGTTGAGATTCACTAATTTATGGAAACAGAAGATCTAAAGTGTGGACCATCTTGGGGTACCTGGCTGGCTCAGTTGCAAGAAGAGCATGCAACTCTTGATCTCAGGGTTGTGAGTTTGAGCCCCACATTGGGAAATTATTTCAATAGGTAAAACTTCAAAAAATAAGTAAAATGTGGACCTCAAAAAAATTCAGATTACAATGATAGCTTTGTTTAATAAAGGTGGGACTCTTAATTCTCAGCACAATGGACATCTACTCTGAAATCATTCTTCCTTATCTGAGTACTTTTCTGTTCCCCATTTTCTTAATTCTGTATATAATATATATAATATTAACTCTCTCTGCCACCGCTCTGAAATTCTGTGATTGACTACATACACAGCCACTGTGCTTGGGCCCCACTTTACACAGACGTCAAAGGCAGTGTGGGACAATTTCTAAAATGATTGGAGTATTGCATTTAGGCATTTCCAGTCTCACTTCAGTGTTTGAGGTTTTCAGAAGTAACATATGCCTCAGGATTCCAGAAAGGATACAGGTCCTTGTTATATGAGACTGACAAAGTAACATTACTAATGCCTCCATTCTTAAGAACCACAGGAGGTTTGAGCTAAAAAGGCTTAGAGATTATCTAATGTGGGTTCTTATTTTGCTAGAAGCAAAATTAAGGTCAGAGAGGAAGACTGACTTGTCTAAGATAGCGTAATTAGTTTATGGGTAAATAAATATAAAACTAAATTATATGGGGAAAAAGCATTGAACTTTTTTCTTTTCATAATTTGAAAATAAAATTAATGTATTTTCATAATTTAAAAATAGAATAGACAAATAAAACTAATGTATTAACATATAAAATGTAATAATATATTTTATTATCTGAGCTTTGAAAAAACTTATAAATGTTAGTTGTATAGTCCATATTGATTGATTTCTTTTAAAATAATATTGGCATGAAAAATATTGGTCATAGTTTAGAAGAAAGAAAAACTTGATCCAGTTTCTTAGAGTTTATAAAAGGAAAAGTTTCCGCTATTAGTTGAATATGTCAGCTTACTGTAGAAATTTCCTTTATGTTACTGCAATGCAGTTTTTGTTCCATGAATGAGAAATAGGAAACTTACAGGAAATTTAGTCAGTCTATAGATATATGGTTATTTTTCTTTTGCTTATGATAGAAATTATAAACCATGTAATTATTTTTATCTTTACATTTAGTTAATTAAACAGATTATTTTTGAGTTCATTTTTTTTAATGGTTACTCATTTTAAGTTCCTTGTTCTTTTTCATGTTGCATCAGTGATGTATCTTTAATAAACATTTTCTGTTTGTGTGTTTTCTCTTCAATGAATGTCAGTTAAAGAGAAATTGACCGCGGATCCAGACAGTGAAATAGCTACAACCAGCCTAAGGGTTTCTCTCCTATGTCCAGTAAGTGTTAACTAATACTTGCTTTCCAAAAGATTCAACATACATTTTCCCCATTTTATGAAGTATTTCCAGTATTTGCAAAATGATGTTTACTTTTGAAATATGCCCACCTTTGTCACAGTTTCTGAAAAATAGAAAGACATTATTATTAATTAGTCATAGGATTTGGAATCTAACCAAATTTTTAAGACTGTAAAAATGTCCTACTCTTAGTAAGCTGTGTTTAAATATTGCTTATGATCAATGATTATCTCTCAGACTCAAGTGTAAATTCTTCAAATAAGGAATGGGTATTATTTTGGTATATTTATTAAAATTGAATTTTTAAAAATAGTATCCTTTTGAATAGAAATCTAGCTATGATTTACCCACACATTCAGTTTAACCATTTTGCCAACAATGACTACATTGTAAGAACCCACTAATTAAAAACTGTTCTATTTAGCCTGAATAACTGAATTGGTTATGCAGATAAAAATAACCTAGAAATATTTTTAAACCAGAAAAAGAGGTCAAAATCAGTTGTTTGTACAGTAAGGTCCAAAACATACCAAATGATTAAACTTGTAGTGAATAAGTTTTCCCAAAAAACGTGTTGTTAATGTTTATTTCTTAACCAGCATGGTGTTAAGTCCACCAGTTGTAGGAATGGTAATTGAATGTGGCTTTCATACAAAAATAAGTGAAAAAGTAGGAGTAAATTACTTTGACACTTTAATTACCTTTTGTTCTATAATTAATCAAATTAATCATATCTAAATTGGGGAGAAAGTATAAAGAATAAGAGGACACAGGTGTTTCCTGATTTGCCTGGATTATTCAGGCAGGCCTGATATTGAAAGTCTTTAATATTGAAATCTTCCTAATCTAAGATGAAGATGAAGTTATTGTATTCTTAAATAATTTAAACAGAAACTAAATTTTATTTATCCTACATCTTAGTCTTTTATAACTTATAAAATCTCAAACACAAGATGAAAAAGTCTTTAGCTCACAAATTAGTTTATAGTACTATATTTGATGTAGCTCTTAAAAAAACCTTTTTGTTTTATAATACTGCTAAGAGAATCCCTATTTTTTATCAGGCTTTTATAAAATTATAGAAATACAGTGGAGTGAATAAAATCCCCCAAATACTATCATTTTGTATAGATCCTTCTATCTTTTTATTCCTTATACTAGCCAGACTTTTTCTTAAGAAAAATATTTTGATTCTAGCCTTTTTAATGTTGTTATTAAAATTCTTCCCAAATATAGATGCAATCATTGGCAGAACTGAAAGGAGAAATAGAAAGCAACACAATAATAGTAGAAGACTTGATACCCCACTTTCAGTTATGAATAGAATAACCAGACAGAAAGTCACTAAAGAAGCAGAAGGCTTAAACACTATAGACCAATTCACCATATGTGTGTGTGTGTGTGTGTGTGTGTGTATATATATATATATATACATATATATATGTAATACTCCATACAACAACAGCAGATTACACATTCTTCTCAAGTGCACATGGAACATTTTTCAGTATAGACCACAAAACAAGACTTAACAAGTTTAAGTCATACAAAGTATCTTCTTTGACCACAGTGGGATGAAACTAGAAGTCAACAGCAGAAGGAAAACAGGAAAATCCACAAATAGGTGGAAATTAAACAACAAACTCTTAAACAGCCAAAGAAGTTATCACAAGGGATTTAAAAATGGAGACAAATGAAAAAACAAAACAAAACAAAACAATACAACAAAACTTACGGGATGCAGCAAAAGCAGTAGGAAGAGGGAAGTTTATAGCAGTTAATACTTACATTAAAAAAGAAAGATCTCAAATTAACAACCTAATGTTATCCTCAAGATTCTAGAAAAAGAAAAACAAACTAAACCCAAAGTCAGCAGAAGGAAGGAAATAACAAAGATTAACACAGAGATAAATGAAACAGAGAATATAAAAACAATAAGAAAAAAGCAATGAGACCAAGAGTTAGTTTTTCAAAAAGATCAACAAGATTGATAAACCTTTAGCTAGACTAAGAAAAAAGAAGGGAGACTCCAATAGCTAAAATTAGAAATGAAAGAGAAGATACTACAACTGATGAACTGATAAAACAGAAATATATAAGATTATAAGAGACTACTATAAACAGTTATATGCCAACAAACTGGATAACTTAAAAGTTAAAGTATATTTAACACCAATCATTTTCAAACTCTTCCAAAGAATTGAAGAGCAGGGAATACTCTAAAACTCATTCTCTGAAGCCAGCATTATCCTGATCCCCAAATCAGACAAAACCAAACAACTAAAAAAAATCACACATCATGACCAAGTGGGATTTGTAGCTGGAATATAAAGATGGTTCAGCATACAAAAAGTCAATCAGTGTGGGGCGGCTGGATGGTTAAGCATCTGCTTTGGGCTCAGGTCATGATCTCCAGGTCTTGGGATTGAGCCCCATGGCAAGCTCCCTGCTCACCAGGGAGTCTACTTCTCCCTCTCCCTGTGTCCCTCCCCACTATTCACACACACAATATTCTCTCTCAAATAAATAAAATCTTTTTTTTTTTTAAATCAATGTAATAATGCCACATTAACAAAACGAAGGACAAAACCCACATGATTGTCTTAGTGGATGCAGGAAAAGCATTTTGCAAAGTTCAGTACTCTTTCATCATAAAAACACTCAACTCACTAGGGGTGGAAGGAAGCTTCAGCATCATAATAAAAGCCATATAGAAAAAGCTGACAGCAAACATGATACTCAAGAAGACAAGAATGCTCACCCTCACCACTGCTATTCCACATAGTACTAGAAATTCTGGCCAGAGCAATTATGCAAGAAGAAGAAATAAGACATACAAATTGGAAAGGAAGTACAATGATCTCTGTTTGTAGATGGCATGATCTTTTTATGTAGAAAACCCTACAGATTCCACAAAAAAACAAAATAGAGTTGCAGGATACAAAATCAAAATACAAATTTAGTTGTGTTTCTAAACATTAACAATGAACAATCCAGAATGGAAATTAAGAAAACAGTCCCATTTACAATAGCATCAAAAAGAATAAAATACTTGGGAATAACTTTAGCCAAGGAAACAAAAGATTGGCACACTGAAAACTGTAAAACATTGCTGAAAGAATTAAAGACATAAATAAATGGAACGACATCCCAGGTTCATGGATTGGGAGGCTCAATATTATTAAAATATCTATAGGGGCGCCTGGGTGGCTCAGTGGGTTAAAGCCTCTGCCTTCGGCTCGGGTCATGATCCCAGAGTCCTGGGATCGAGCCCCCCATCGGGCTCTCTGCTCAGCGGGGAGCCTGCTTCCTCATCTCTCTCTGCCTGTCTCTCTACCTACTTGTGATCTCTGTCAAATGAATAAATAAAAAAATCTTTAAAAAAAAAATATACTACCCAAAGTGATTTAAAGATTCAGTGCAATCCCTATCAAAATCCCAGTGGCATTTTTTATTTTGCAGAAATAGAGAAAAGAGTCCTAAAATTCCTGTGGAATCTCAAAGGACCCCATAGAGCCAAAAGCAATATTTTAAAGAGCAAGTTTGAGCCCTCACATTCCCTGATTTCAAAACATACTACACAGCAACAGTAATTAAGATGGTGTGATAATGGACATAAAGATAGATATTGTAGGGGCGCCTGAGTGGCTCAGTGGGTTAAGCCTTTGCCTTCGGCTCAGGTCATGATCCCAGAGTCCTGGGATCAAGCCCTTCATAGTGCTCTCTACTCAGCGGGGAGCCTGCTTCCCCCTCTCTCTCTGCCTGCCTCTCTGCCTACTTGTGATCAATCTCTCTCTCTGTCAAATAAACAAATAAAATCTTAAAAAAAAAAAAAAAGATAATGTAGACTAATGGAAGAGAATGGAGAACCTAGAAACAAACTCTTGCATTTATGGGCCAAGTTACCTTTCAACAAGTGTGCTGGGACTACACAAGGGGGAAAACAGCCTCTTCAATAGATGGTGCTGAGAAAAACTAGATATCCACATGCAAAAAAAGGAATTTGCGCCCTTACTTTATACCACATGCGAAAGAGAACTCAAAATGAATTAAAGACCTAAAACGTAAGACCTTAAATTTTTAAACTCCTAGAAGAAAATATAGGGGGATAGCTTCATTGAATTTCACAGTGATTTATTGGACATAACACCAAAAGCATTTGCACAAAAGCAAAAATGGACAAGTGGACTAGACCAAACTTAAAAACTTCTGCATGTCAAAAAAAAAATAATGAGAGTGAAAAGACAACCTATGGCTTAGGAGAAGATAGTTGCAAATCAGATATCTGATAAGGTATTTACAACATAAGAAACTTCAACTCAACAACAATAATAAACAACCTGATTAAAACATGGGCAGAGGACTTGAGTAGACGTTTTTCCAAAGAAGATTTACAAGTTGCCAAAAAACATGGAAGGATGTTCTACATTGCTAATCACTAAGGAAATGCAAATCAAATCAGCATGGGTTTTCACTTCAGACCTGTCAAGATGGCCACTATCAGGGGCGCCTGGGTGGCTCAGTGGGTTAAAGCCTCTGCTTTCGGCTCGGGTCATGATCCCGGGGTCCTGGGATCGAACCCCACATCGGGCTCTCTGCTCGGCGGGGAGCCTGCTTCCTCCTCTCTCTCTGCCTGCCTCTCTGCCTACTTGTGATCTCTGTCTGTCAAATAAATAAATAAAATCTTAAAAAAAAAAAAAAATCCCAAGTGTTGGTGAGGGCAGAGACACTGGAACCCTTATTTTATATCCCCCCCCCCCCCCCCCCCCCCCCCATTGGTGGGGATATAAAATGCTGCAGCCATTGTGAAAAACAGTGTGGAAGTTTCTCTAAGAAAGTAAAAATAGGTTTACCGTACGGTCCGGCAATTTCTTTGTTGGGTATATATCCAAAAGAATTCAAAGCAGGATCTCAAAGAGAAAATTTGCACAGGCATGTTCATTACAACGTTCATAATAGCCAAGAGATAGAAACAGCCC